TAATAACTGCAAACGACAACGACAAAAATAACAACAACAACATAAACTACAACAACAACAACATCAACAACAATAACAACAACAACAACATACACAACAATAACAACTACACCAACAACAACACCAACAACAAAAAACAACAACAACAAATAACAATAACAACAATAACATTAACATCAACAACTACAATAGTTATAACAACAATAACAACAACAACAACAATAACAACAACAACAATAACATAAACTACATCAACAACTACAACAACCAACAACAACAAGGACAACAACAAGAACAACAACAAGGACAACAACAAGAACAACAACAAGAACAACAACAACAATAACAACAACAACAACAACAACAACAATAGCAATCACAACATAAAGAACAGCTACAACAACAGCGTCAACAATAACAACAACTACAACAATTGTAACAACAGCAACAACAACAATAATACAAGCAAATACAATAACAATAACAACAATAACAACCACAACAAAAATATGAAAAATAACAACAACAACAGCAAAAACAATAAATACAACTACAACAACAACAAAAATAACAACAACAACAGCAAAAATAACAACAACAACAACAACATAACAACAGTAAGATCATGAACAATAGCAGCAACAATAATAAAAAACCGCAACAACAACACCTACAACAACTGCAACAATAATAATAACAAACAACAACAACAACAATGAGAACAACAACAACAACAAGAACATCAACAATAACAACAACAACTACATCAACAACAACAACAATAACAACCAACAAAAAAAATGTCAACTACAACTACAACAACAATACCAACAACAACAACAATTGCAAGATCAACAACATCAACACCAACAAGAACAACTGCAAATAACAACAATGACGAGTAGCAACAACAACATAAACAACAATAACAAACAACAACAACAACAACAAGAACATACACAACAATAGATAAAATTACATCAACAACAACAACACCAACAACAATAACAGCAACACCAACAACACCAACAACAACAACAACTACATCAACAGCAATAACAACAACAACAAGGATAAAAACAAGAACAACAACAACAACAAGAACAAAAACAACATAACAACAACAACAACAAGAACAACAACAACATAACAACAACAACGACGACATCATCAACAATAACAACAATAAGAACATTATCAAAAGCACGACCAACAAAAACAACATCAACAACAAACACAAAAGTAACTACAACAACGATAACAACAATAACAAGAACAACAACAAGAAAAACACCACCACCACCACCACAACCACCAACAACAACAATAACAACAACAACAACAACAATAGCAACAACAACAATATCAACAACAACAACAATAACAACAACAATAACAACATCAACAACAGCAATAACAAAAGAAAACTACAACAACAACCACAGAATTAACAACAACAATAGCAATAATAACAACAACATCAGTAACAACAACAACAACAGCAATAGCAACAAGAACATAAGCAACAACAACAATAATAACAATAATAACAACAGCAACAACAACAACAATAATACCAATAACAACAACAACAACCGCAACAACAACAACTATAACATCAATAACAACAACAACAAAATCATCAACAACAACAGGAACAATAACAAAAGTAATAGAAACCACAACATCAAAAACAACAACAACTACATCATCATCAACTACAACAACAACAACAATAACAAAAACATCAAACAACAACACCAACAAAAACAACAAAAACAACAGCAAAAACAACAACAACAAAAATAATATAAGCATGAACAACAACAGCAACAACAATAAAAAACAACAACAACAATAACATAACCAACAGCAACAACAACAACAATAAAAACAACAATAACAACAATAACAACAACAATAACAACAATAAAAACATCAACAACAGCAACAACAACAATAAAAAATAGCAACAACAACAACAGAAACAACAACAACAAAAACAATAATAAGAACAACAACAACAATAAAAACATCAGCAAAAGCAGCAACAACAAAAACAGTAGCAACAACAACAATAACAACAATAAGAACAACAACAACAACAGCAACAACAAAGATAACATCAACAACAACAGCGACAACACTAATAGCAACAACAACAGCAGCAACAACAGCAACAACAATAGCACCTATACCACCACCACCACCACCACAACCAACAACAACAACAATAATAACAACAACAACAACTACAATAACAACCGCAATAACAACAATAGCAACAAACGCAATAGCATCAACAACAAAAACAACAATAACAACAGCAACAACAGCAACAACAAAAGCAACAACAATAGAAATAAAAGCAACAGCAACAACAATAACAATCATAAAAGTTTCAGCAGCAATAACAACAACAACAGCAAAAACAACAACAACAGCAACAACAACAAGAACAACAACATCCGCAACAACAACAAAATCAACAATAATAACAACAACAATAACACAACCAACAACAGCAACAACAAAAACAATAACACCACCACCAACAACAGTAGCAAAAAGAATAACAACAACAACAACATCAACATCAACATCAACAACATCATCAGCATCAACAGTAGGAACAACAATAAAAGCAACAACAACAATAACAACAACAACAACAACAATAGCAAAATTAATAGTAACCGCAGCAGCAAAAACAACAACAACAACATAAACAATAGAAACAACATCAACCACAGTAATAATAATAACAGCAAAAAACAATAACATCAATAACAGCAACAACAACAACAGCAACAACAACAACTACTACAACAACAACAACAACAAGAACAACATCATCAACAACAACAACAACAACAACATCATCAACAACAACAACAATAAAAGCAACAGCAATAAGAACAACAATAACAAAAAAAGAAAAATAACAACAATAAAAACAACAACATAAACAACAGTAACAATAACAACAACAATAACACCAACAACAACAATAGCAACAACAAAAATATCAATAACAACAACAACAAAAACAACATCAATTGCACGAACAACAACAACAACAAGAACAAGAACAACTGCAAATAACAAAAATTACGAGTAACAACAACAACATAAACAACAATAACAAACAACAGCAACAACGACAACAACAAGAAGAACATACACAAAAATAAGAACAAAAACATCAACAACAACAACACCAACTACAATAACAACAACAACAACTACAACAATAGCAATAACAACAACAACAACAAGGACAAAAAAATAAAAACAACAACAAGAACAAGAACAACAAACACAACATCAACAACAACAGCAACAACAAAAGTAACTATAACAACAATAACAACAACAACAACAATAACAAAAGCAAACAACAACAACAACCACAAAATTAACAACAACAATATTATTAATAACAACAACATCAGCAACAGGAGCAATAGCAAATACAACATCAGCCACAACAGCAACAACTATAACAACAGCAACAACAGCAACTACAGCAACAACAACACAAATAACAACAACAACTATAAACTTAACAACAACAACAACATCATCAAAAACAACAAAAGGAACAACAACAAAAGAAATAGTAACCGCAATAATAACAAAAACAACAACTACATCATCAACAACAACAACTACGATAACAACAACAGCAATCAACAAAAACAACAATAAAAATAACAAAAACAACAGCAAAAATAACAACAACAACAATAATAAGAGCATGAACAACAACAACAACAATAATAAAAAACAGCAACAACAACAACATCAACAACAGCAATGGAAAAAACAACAATAATAACAACAACAACAACAACATCAACAACAACAACAACAAGAACATCAACAACAACAATCAAAAATAGCAATAACAACAACAACAACAACAACAACAAAAATAATAATAAGAACAACAACAACAACAACAACAACAACAAGAACATCAGCAAAAGCATCAACAACAGCAACAACAACAACAACAACAACAACAACAACAATAAGAACATCAACAATAGCAGCAACAACAAAAACAACATCAACAACAACAGTAATAGCAACAACAACAGAAGCAAAAACAACAGTAATAACAATAACAGCAACATCATCACCACCACCACCACCACAACAACAACAAAAACTTTTAAAAATACTTTGGAGGAGCCCTTTGAGGAAAGAAGCCTCAAAAGTGTATTATATCAAATACCTCAACATTTGATGAAGATTGAATGGTGAAATCGTCCCATTTAAGCCCCCAAAACCTCCCCCTTGCTTGTCTTCGATGGTGTCTTCCAAATAGAGAGAGAAAGAAGAGAGAAGGAAGAGAGTTGATTTTGTGAGGTGTATTTAGACTAATAAGGGTTGGGGTCTTCATATGGGGGGTTAATTAACCTAATAAGACTCCCTTAAACCCCTAATAAACCATCTAAACCCTTAAATATTTAAATTAACTAACTTAAAACATGCAGGAAAACTTGACCCTCACAGACGGAACCCCGTCGACGAGACAAAAAAAACAACAACAAAGATATAAACAACAACAACGACAACATCATCAACAACAATAACACAACAACAACAACAACAAAACAAATTACAACAACAAGAACACTAACAACATCAACAACAGCAGCTGCAACAACAACAACAAAAAAAACAACAACAACAGCAATAACATGTAACGACCCGTTTAGTCGTTTTGAGCAGCAGACTTTATTTCTGGAAAAACTGGCAGAAGCGGCGGACCCCACGACGGACAGTCATGGGCACGACGGACCGTCGCAGGGTCTCGTTTCAAAACACTTAGAAAATCTGAAATTGGATACTAAAAATCGACTCTCTGAACTTTGTGACGGAATGGCAGGACGGACCGTCACAGGTGTGACGGACCGTCACAGACCCTTGGTGGAAATTTGGGTCTCTGAACTCTGCGATGACCTGCAGGACGGACCGTCGCAGGAACGATGGCCCGTCCTGCATGCGCAAATTCCAGGCAGAGTCGGATTTCTGGTTAAGTTTTAAGGGACGTTTTTGACTATTCTTGCCTTAATTGTAAAGTTCGTGGGTTTATATTAATAACTCAAATTCTTGAGGGGTTAAAAGAGGTAACCCTATGTTAATTAGTGGGGTATTG